ATTGTCTGTGGAGCAAAATACAAAGGGTTATATAATAACTATGTGCAAAAAAAAAATTAAAAAAAATAGACATTAACAAATAAGTACTACCTTTCCCCCCCCCAAATAGTGCTAGTAACAATCAATTAATTAATTTATCAAATATAGTGTTACATAAATTTAACAATTGTGCATTTTTTTCTACTCTATTTATCACAGGAGACAAATTATTTTCACTTTCTTGGTTTTGGACAGACAAGGTGCAACAAATGAAAACTGGAATTATGTGTTCCTTATTGCATATTATTTTTTTTTCTGCATATCATGCAATTTTGCAACAATTTTTTCAGTTATAAGTACCCTTAAATCTGGTATTTATTAACTGATAATATCAGTGTAACAAAAACAAAGCTTTCTGCAACAAAACATTCTGCACTAACCAGACAGAATAAAACACAGCTCGTGATTTTTTTAAGTTTTAGGGAATATTAGTTTACAAATGCAAACGTTCCTTACTGGCCATTTATAATATTGGAAGGTGCAGATACACTATATTCAGCAATGATCGATCCAACAGACACAATGGGATAATAGTCAGAGACGTTTCTAACGAGCAATGCCAGAGCAGCTTATTGGCTAACAATAGTGTTTTATGGTCTACTTTACCAGGAAACCCCTGCCTTCAAGAAGGCACATGTTTATCATGGATGGAGCCCACATTGTGCACCTTTATTCCCCAAGATCAGAGAAAGCATTTAAGGAAAGCAGACAATATAGTAAAAGCCCATTGTGTGTGTGTGTGAGAGAACAGGGGCGGGGAGAATAATGGGAGGGAGGACTTCATGACTGCTCCATAGACACTTCCCTCAAAGCCTATGAGATCTACTGATTGCTTCACAAAGTGCACAGCTTCATCACACTGACAGCTTTAAGAGACATCAACTCTCTCTCCAGGGGATAAAACCTGCTCAAAACTAATTGTTCCAACTAGCATGTCCAGAGCCAGGCTGTGGACACACTTTGAAGGCATCTCAGCTACCTTTACCAGGACACAGTGTGTATGACACCTCCAAGAAGGAATATGGCCCCTTTCACCCCTACACTAGCAGCCACCTAATTCTGGAATGACACTTGTGGATCTTCTCGTCGCTGGATACATAGTAGCTAAGGAATAGACTTTGTTTTCTGTGTTCTGAGATCCGTCGATAAGGAGGGAGAGCTGCTGGGGTCCCACCTGAAGCTCTGGATAAACGATGCTTGGATCTAGCTGTGGACTGTAGAAGACTTCTGTGGTCATTTTCCAAACATGATGTCCCAGTGGATTATCCTGCTAATCGCAGTAGCTGGTAAATGTCTCATTTAAATCGTTAGCTTGAAACAGACTTACAGAGCCCCGGGGCAGAGGCACTCATATAAAACAGGTGCACATTTAACCTATATAGAACGTGTGTTGGTATAAATATCATTATTTACAAGCATACTGGTGCACACACACGTCTATATAGGTAGTCTCTTAGAGATATACTGGCAGTCTGGCACTGGGGTTTAGATGTTAATACCTTCTTGAAAAAATATTAAATGATTTTTTGTGTATGTGTGTATTCAATCCACATTAAATTATTTGCAGATAAATTATTACTACCCAATGATTTTTTTTAATCTTTATTTTTTTTAAACACTAGGGGGTTATTTACTAAGCTGTGAATTGCAGGAAATTGAATGCCTCTTAATATTGGATATTCACCTGCCTAATGCTGTCATAGATTATAAGTGATAAAAAGGTACTATAATCTGTGGAGTGCTGCTCCCCACCCCCAGGTTGGTGTATTTTTTTTTTTTTTTAATAATTTAGAGTGCCCAGCGATTTGTTCATTCATAGCTGTGGAGTCTCTTGAGATACAAATAAAGTCATTGGGATAAAACATCGTGTAGCATTCGGAGCCGGGGCTTAGCTAAGTGAAGTGATGTCATTCCAGCCCTAACTTTCAATATACACAGTGTGGAAAGGGCTTTATGTAAAATTAGATAGATGTTATATAGAGCACTTACCACAGGTTTCCAGGGCAGAGCAATGATGGCTCTTCAGATGATTTTGAATTAGAATAATAGAAACACTTATCTAAAGCCATTATCCACCTGCACTTTCTTTGCAGATGTATCTCTCCTTTCTTGTAGTCTATTTTTTCAGTATTGTTCTTTTTGACTCGCACTGTACATATCTCTTATCACTTTAACGTTCTCCCTCTGTTCTTTGTAATGGGTGGGCATAGGCTGCATGTGTGGTGGCTGTTAGTGGCGTGTTAGGGTTGGCTGTGAAAGGTGTGTATGTGTGTGGTGGCTGTGAGTGATGTGTGAGTGTTGGCTGTGAGTGGTGTGTGCATATGGTGGCTGCAGGTGTTGCATGTGTATGGTGGCTATGAATGGTGTGTGCAGTGTGTGTTTGGAGATGTTGTCAATGGTTTGTATGGGGGTGGCAGCTTTAAGTGGTCTGTAGGTGTCTGTGATTGGTGTGCATTATAGTTGCGAGTGTTTGTGTGGTGGCTGTGAGTGTTGTTTGTGTGGTGGCTGTAAGTGGTATATTTGTGGGGTGGCTGTGAGTGATGTGTGAAGTGACTGAGTGGGGAGTGTGTGTGCCTATTGTGAGTGGTGTGTGTATGTGGATAGACTGAGTGTGAATTTAGAATCCCCACACAAATTTCATTATTCCTGTAGAGCAAATCTTTTATTATTTTTGCCCACTCTTACTTTTGTTTGGGTAAAGGGGATAAACTCCCTATTAGCCCAATGTAGAGTACATCTGGGAAGCTTCATGGTGGTCCTTTGGGAGGGGTTGTGGTCTGCACTGCAGGCGGTAAATCAGAGCATTTTTAAGTCCAGATGCAGCTCTCTGATTCATTCTATGGAGGTGACCTGCACCCACCATGCTACCTCAGCTGTAGAGAAGGGATGCAGGCCAGTGACAGAGATTCCTGTGGTGGCAGCTCACCCAACAAGAGCCAGCACTCCAGACAAGTGTTTTTTGTCCAAAATTAAAATTTTCAACAATTCCAACTTTATTAAACAATCCTGTCAGTTGCTCTTTGGTGTTAGTGAAGGAAAAATCTAGAGCTCATTGGGATCCAACTCCACTATTTTTTCCACATTTTTACTGCCTTAGGAAACAAATCACCCTCTCAGCATCTTACATCTCCATTCAGTTTGCCTTTTGCATCTTGTAGCCTCTCTTTTCTCCATCTCCCAGCTTCCCTTCCTTCACTCTCACACTCTTTTGTTTCAGTGTTCTATTTCTGTCCTACTGCCCGTATCTCTGTTCTCTCTAAAAATTCTACCTCTGTTCTTAGTAACTTTCTGTCTCTTCCTTGCTATCTTGCTTGCAGTCTGTCATTCATCTCTTGTTTTCATTTTAACATTTCCCACTGTCTCTCCATCAGTTGAAATCATATTAGGGTGTATATTAGGGAGAAAAAAACAACTACCCTTTAAGCCTTACTTAAAATATAATAATCTAAAAATGAGTTACAAAATACACATTTTTTTTTCTTTAGTAATAACCAGTTATTATACAAAAAAAAATAAAAACATTTTTTTTCTTAAAAATCATAAAATGCTAACCCAAACATATGGAAAAGTGCTCCCAGAGAAATAATTGGGGGATTTTGAGTACAGTTTGGCCATAATCTTTGACCCTAATCACTTTAGCTAGCCAAATCTCAAACCTAGTAAATTGTTAACAGATCATTGGTTAAGCTCTGTGTATACCATGTATTGTACACTGACCAGGTCTGACTGTTCTCTACTAGTTAGAAAAAAGAGGAATTGGGGGCCCACCTGGAACATGTATTTATCAGTAGTGGTGCTGTCGTAAAGACCAAAATCTATACATGTTTCAGATTAAGGAACAGCGCACACATAAATCTACAGTTTAACATTTTACAAGGATCCTTAAAACCCCCTATCTCAGCAAACAAATATAGTGATTCAGCTTCACCATATGAAGATTGGGGATTTTAAGAGACTTTGCAAAATGTAAAACTGTATATTTGCATGTGTGCTGTTCCTTAATCTGTATTTTGTTCTCTACCAGACGTGATGGATACTGCATAGACTTATAGAAAATTTAAGTTTAATGAAACTGGGAGAATTTGTGCTTATTCCTAGTCCAGGGGTAGGCAACCATCAGATGTTGTTGGCTACATCTCCCATAATTCTCTTACAACCATAATGCTGGCAAAGCATCAGGGGAGATGTAGTCCATATCATCTGGAGTGCCGAATGTTGCCTTAGTCTGATCTAATGGAAGCATTTCCACTATGATACGAGGGGTTGGCACTTTGGGTATCACAGTGGTCCCCTGTTTCTTTACTCTTAAGCTGGCGATGTTTGATGAAAGGGTGCATACATTGTGTATGATAAGTTGCTGAGCTGTTTTGTAATTTCAGTTTGTTTGTTACTTGAAATGTCTGCATGTGAGACTCTTGTAACTGGCTACGTAATGGTTAATCATTTCAAATGGGCTCAGGACCTGCTCACTTACCAAGCAATATTAATAGCTTGAAACATTATGTCCTGTTATATATTGAATCATCCATAGTTGTGATGGAGTTAAATTTTAGAAATGAAGAGTTAAAGGATATTTTAGGCACAATTTCAAGTATTGGTTTCAGTTGCAAAAAGTCCCTAATGATAAAATCCCCCCTCTAAATGGATGTTCAATGGGATATGGTTTTGTTGCTGTAAGTGCTCATTGATATTGAAAATTAGAAGTGTTAATATAAAATGACAATCAATTTAGGAGAATTCCTTGGCTGATTTTGTGGGTTTTAAAAGTTCCATACCTATTCTGTCTCAAAGTCTCCGTGCCAAATTCAGTGAGAAACACATGCAGTTCTGCACTCATCTTAATGAACAATTGTGGTATTCTGTACAATGACATGCACAGTCTGTATTTCACTCCTTCACGGAATTTGTATCTAAGGCATGAATAAAATATATGGACGTTTCTTAAAGGACCTTTAAAGTCACCCCAGCCACTTCATCTAAATGAAATCCGGGTGTGGTGGCCCTGTCATTTTAACCCTGCGGTGTTGTAGGGATAATTGTGGGACACAGTATTAAAAATAATGTGAAAATTATGAAAATGTCTTACAATGTAAAGGTTTATAATTTTGTAGAAATTGCAATGTTTACATTGCAGGGTAAAAAAAACACACCTGTGGTGGCAGTCATATTGATAGCCACTAGAACTGCTTTCGCCCGAGCTAAATAAAAACGATAGCAGCAGTTGATTGGAGGGGTGTGGCATTTGGCCGCACATATCTGTCTCCAACCACTGGTTGACTTCTTGCGTACGTTATAGACGACAGTAAAATTGTTCTATTGTCAACATAGGTACCAGAATGCACCTCTGAGTGGCTCAACATTCTGTAGAGTCTTATTTGTTTGACACATTGTATCTCCCTGTTCAGTGTGCATGTACTTTGTAACTGATAGTTTCACAGTGGTGGTGTTTTAAGCAGATTATTTGCTTATGACCTCTCTCTTATTTAAGTTGTTCTATGCACTATCTTTATAGTCCGTACTTCGTGTATTTTTATTATTATTATTATTATTATTGCCATTTATATAGCGCCAACAGATTCCGTAGCGCTTTACAATATTATGAGAGGGGGGATTTAACTATAAATAAGACAATTACAAGAAAACTAAAAGGAACGATAGGTTGAAGAGGACATGTACTTAACTACATGTACGTATCTATTGTATCTATTGTTATTTCTTTCTCTGGGATTTTATCTTCACTTTTTTGTTGTGTGCGTGCTTATACAGTTTACAATAAAGCTTGATTTAAAAAGAAACATTCAGCATGTTGATAATGTTATGCTAATGATTTTAATTGTGTTTTAAAAATAACTACAACGCCTTATCTACATATTTGTGTATGAAATAGGGTGGAGTAGTTAGTTGGCTTTAGTTGTCTCAGACCTAAGCCGTCATGAGATCCATTATTATTGTAATAAATGAAATCTCCAGTGTGTTTATATTGGCTCCAGAAGTAACATTTTATATTCCCCCTTGAGATAAATTGATTGTTCCTGGATTTCTTTGTGGAACTTGTGGTTTGAAATGAGTTGACACGGGGACAAGGGATATGGGAATGGTATTCTCTGAGATTGTCATAGACATCTGGTATCTATTAATAATTTCTAATTCACTTTCTTTCATTGCATTATCAGTCAAGTGGGGGCTGCAAAGCTGCATTTATTTTCTACAAGATTGTAAATTATATACAAAAAAAGTGAAAATACGTTTTTTTCTATGCAGAGGGTCACTATATTGTTAGGAATACAGCTCTGTGCATTTACACACAACACAGACTTTTTATACACTCAACACCTGCAGCTATACCAACAAACATAGCCACCGAACCACATACAGCAACCTTGCACACAACACATTGGCACACATACAGCTCACACACGCAACCTCCCTACATACACAATGCCAGAATACCACCAGCTTCCACACTACAGTCATTATCACACACATACAGGATCTTCAAACAACACAACATTCAACACATTGTAGACTGGTGGAGAGACAGTCATAAATGTTGCGTAGGAGTAAAACAGAGGAAAGATAGACCTTCAGGGAAACAACATGACAGGGGCATGGAGGTGGAGAACAGAGACATGTGCAGCATGATATAGATAGAAAGACACTGAAACAATGAAACTGGAAGAAAGAATGATGAGTGATTGGCAGAGGAAGAAACTTGAAAGACAAAAAAAGATGGAAAATTAGATTGATGGAAAATACATGCAGGGGTGGCAAACTGAGTTTTTGTCTAGGATGGTAATAATCATTGCACTGGCCCTGAAAGGTGCCTATGTTTTTTTTTTTCAAACATACTACCGAAAAGAATGGTAAATACTGCCTCAGATAGTTCAGTGTGCCCTGCATTTATGACAATATTTAATTTTTCTAGTCAAATCCAGAGCCAGATTTCTCATGGGGCTCTCCATAACCAAAATATCTCACTGCTCAGCTCTGTGTCCCCTCACTATCTTGAGGGAGTTTCATTGTCCGAACCTCTATCGGGAGCAGATCCCGGCACTTCACAATGACACCAAGTGCCAAAGCCACTGCGCTGAGTCACTGACTGCATGCAAAGACTGTCAGGGAACTCTTGAAGTGATTTGTCCCTGCTAGAGGTTATAGACCATAATGCTCTCCCACTGGATCACCATGGCTCTAGCTCCTTAGCTCAGTCTCCACTGTATCACCATGGCTCTAACTTCTTAGGTCAGCCTCCACTGTATCACCATGGCTCTAGCACCTTAGCTAAGCCTCCACTGTATCACCATGGCTTTAGCGCCTTCGCTCAGCCTCCACTGTATCACTATGGCTCTAGCTCCTTAGGTGAGCCATCACTGTATCACCATGGATCTAGCTCCTTAGCTCAGCCTCCACTGTATCACCATGGATCTAGCTACTCAGCACACGTTCCCCCACACCACCAAGGTAATTACCCCTCTCCTACCAAAGGTAATCACGAAGGGGCCAAATGAAAAACTTCCACACACATTCAACCTCCTTTCCCGACATACTCAGATACTAGACACACAACACTCAGCCAATCTCAAACTCTCCTCCACAAACACAGACATTTAGACTTCTACACACAAAAAATAAAAAAAATCAGCCACCACACACAAACACACTCACCCCAATGTACAGCCTTCTCCACACACAACATTGAACCACTTAAAACAGAATGCCATAAATTATACCAAAATAAATAGTAAATGGATAAAAGAAAAAAGGTGCTTATAGTTCTTAACAAAATTAATATCTAAATTAGAGACGTGTGTTAGACTCACAAAATCTGAGTGGATTCTGTGCCACTCTCACATTGATTGCCCCGGAGGGATCAAGGTCATGGTGATTGGCGAATCGCCTGGAATAAACCAGATTGAAGACATTGACTTATAGTATCTCAGCCAGCTTTATTGTTTCCAATACAGGTAAAAATTATTTAAAGGATCACTATAGTGTCAGGAAAATAAAGCTGTTTTCCTGACTCTGTAGAGCCTTGAGGGTGCCCCCACCCTCAGGGTCCCCTTCCTGTGGCACTGAAGGGGTTAAAACCCCTTCAGCAGCTTACCTTATTCCAGCACCAGGCTCCCTCGGCGCTGGTGACCTCTCGTCCCCCGCCGCCATCAGCTCCCAAGTGGAGCGGAATGTGCATGCGCAGCAAGAGCCGCGCGCGCATTCAAACAGTCCATAGGAAAGCATTCTCAATGCTTTCCTATGGACACTCTGCGCAATGGATGTGAAATTCACATCTAGCGTCGCAGATGCGCCTCTAGCGGCTGTCCGGAAGACAGCCACTAGAGGTTAACTCTGCAATGTAAACATAGCAGTTTCTCTGAAACTGCAATGCTTACATCTGAAGGGTTAAAACCTGAGGGACCTGGCACCCAGACCACTTCATTGAGCTGAAGTGATCTGGGTGACTATAGTGTCCCTTTAAAATAAAATAAAACAGATAAAAGCTAATGAATGAATGTCAAATAACATAAATATATTAGAGCAAGGTAGATCCCCAGATGTTTTAAAACTACATCTTCCATGATGCTTTGCCATTCTAAATTGCATTCCAAAGGCATTCAAAGCATCAAAGGGAATGTAGTTCTACAACATCTGGGGATCTACCTTTTGGGGAACCCCTGTGTTAGAGTGTATGTCAAATAACTGCATAGAGCCCTGAGCAATCTTAATCTATCTCTTATTGCATCATATTCTTTCTCATTAATTTATGACCAGATGTGTGCCTTATAGTCCATGTGAAGTCTGACAGAGCATGCAAAAAGATGCCTAATTCAACTTTCATAACGCTGCACACTCGGACTCTCATTGGAAGTCAAATAATTGGATACAGATGTATTTTGGAATAATAAATGGATGCTTGAGGGAATGTGGTGCATTTGGAAGAGCATCATTCGCAAAACAATTATGATATATATGTGTGTGTGTGCTAAATAAAACATCCCCATGGAAACCTAATAATTCAACAACTGGCTTTGAACCCCTATAGTTTTTCCCTGATAAAGTCCAGCATCACCAAACAGAACTCTTCTCTGCTATATTCCCAAACTTAGATTATTGCCCAAGGTAAAAGTGGAAATAAAAGTCAAGGTCAGACTTGCAGTTAGGTAAAAAACTATTTACATCTTAATGTGGCGTAGATATCCTAAAATGTGGTCTGGCCCACATTATCTGCTGTAACAATAAATTTATGTTGTTTTGGTAAAATTTCCTTGAATACACATCCAGTAAATGCTAGTGTAAGTGTACTGTAAGTCATGTACCTCCCTTTGCTGCACTTCTGAGCACAACCTATATTACGTTAAGTAGCTTAGTAGCTACTTAATGGCACATTTTGACACAAACTAAAAAAAAAATCTTAAAAAGGAGATAAAAAAATAAATTAATTAATTAATAATATTAACACACATAACTTTCACTGTTAAAACTAAACCTGGCATTGCTCACATCCTTATTACATTTTAATGATCAATCCATACCTAGACACAATTGTTAATCATTGAATATTTGACCACATCCTTATTTTCTTTGGGTCTACAAAATTATATATATCATAGGCATGTGACCCACGGACAAAAAGGTTCTGTATCCATAGTGCAACCTTGTTAGAGTCTTTTTTTTCTGCAGAATCTTATAATTAACTAAAAACAGCAGATTGTATGAATTAAAAATGTAATCAAATACTATTTCCGGCATGAAACCCGAGATCCGACATTACTACGGCAAAACAGCCAAAGACCCCTCAAAAACTACCTCCATAAGCCGGGGTAAGACTGAGGGAGAGTCAGCACACTATGGGGAGACACTCACGGAAACCCCGAGGGCCATTCGCGGGACATACCCACGATATCGGGCAACTCTTGTCCCAGGCTTGCAGGCCCAAAATGGTGGACGTCTTTCAAACCATAGGGATGGAGTCACTGTCTGCCTCAGAGGATGAGTACCTGAGCGACATGCCAACCCAGACACCCCAACGGAAGCAACAAACTGCACCACCAAGGCAGTCAGAACCACCACTAGCCAATAAGGCTGACCTATCAGGCATGGTGACTGACCTTAAGGCCTTCTTCACAGCAGAATTAGCAGGCCTCAAGATGGAGCTGAGCACACTTACAGGCCGCATGCGAGCCACGGAAGAAGTAGTCCAGGACTTGAGAGCTCAGCACGACACCATGGCAAAGCAAACGCAGGAGCTGGTAACCACATGCTCACAACTAAACGCTTGAGTGGGGCAGCTTGAAGATATGGCGAGACAGAAATATTAAGGTGAGGGGGATCCCAGACACTGTGACAGCAGACGAAATGCCGCTCCTCACAAAGAGGCTGCTACAGGCTGCCCTTCCATCTAAACCGGCCAAAGGACTGACCCTAGACAGCCTATTTCGCATACCAAGGCGCCCACGTAATGCCCCAGACTCCGCAAGGGATGTCATAATGAGCTTCAAATCCCGCTCAGACAAAGACGGATTCCTCCGTGCTGTCAGGGGCCAGACCCCGTACGCTTTTGAGGACCTTACCTTATACTTCTACCAAGACCTGAGCCGCAAGATGCTGCAGTGGCATGCATCCCTGAAAGAAACCACAACACAATTGAGGGCAGCGGACATACAATATAAATGGGGCTACCCCCGAATGCTAATTGCCACACAAGAAGGGCAAAGCCACCGACTGACAACACCGGCGGAAGCACCAAAATTTTTACAAGCACTAGGCATTCGCCCTGTGGCAGACGCCAAGACGAGCACGCCACACCGGTGGGATGTCGCCAACATAGCACCGTTCACCCCATCGGGACAGGCAGCCCCAGCAGGAAGCAGCACTATGCACCCACCCGGTTCTTAATGTGGGGAAAAACTGTCCGTCACAAGGAAATAGTAAAGGCACCGGCCGGATTCATATTACAATGACTTTTGCAATGTCCTCCCCCTTTTGTATATAATTTTATTTATAATTTGTATGCCAGTTATCCATTTCTACGTCATTCACTTTTTATGCCTAATGCCGTGTCATAGGTTAGCCATCCAGTCTGCAGACCGCGGCAGCTCAAATATACTTACCACTTAACACACAGACCGCACAATACCCCGACCTCGCAGATCTTCGACCTGGCACAACCGACAGGGCACCTAGGCGACACCTTAATGCCAAAGTCACAAGTGGCACATACCTACACTGCAAAAAACACCCCCCCCCCCCAGACTCCGGGGTTAAGGAGCCTTACTATATATAGGCCCCTATAATGCCTCTAGCCGCCAAACTGGAGACCCAGAACCAGAAACCCAGGCTTAACTCACCTAACTTGAAAAATGCATACAATGCTTGTACAATATGGAACTAAATTTAGGTGCTGTGGCTCTTACATATATACCTAACCTGTTATAGTTTAGCGCTTTCCGAACCAGAGGCAAAATCACTCGCCTGTACACTATCACACTGTACTATGCCTGTCTTTATCATTAAAAAATTGTGCAGTGTATTCTTTTAGACATGTAACTTTGGATATCTCCTCAGTCACTAAGCAATGTCGTGATCACTGAAATCCTGTATCTTATTGTATGCACAACAAAAATAAAGAATTGAAAAAAAAATAATACTATTTCCATTTTTAAGTTAAGAGACTTATGTTTTTACTATTGTTATTGAGAAGAGAATATAATATTAAATCTATACAATTTTGTTAGGTTAGCTTGTTGCATACATTATGATCACGTTGCAGCTGTCGTAACATAATAACAGATTAAATTCAACAACAGCTGGAGGTTCTTGGTTGATTATTATAAAACACACCATTAATCTTTTGTCTAGGTGTAAAAGCACCTTTAGATATCTTTTCTGATTAATGTATATACAGGCATATTCCTGTGCCGTGCAGCCACTGTTTACTTTCAATTTGCCTAAACGTGTGTTTTGTAATAAAAACTAAAGCGTGTATATATTTAGACACTGCACTCTTTTATGTGTTTTTCATAGAAAAAGCATTTCCATAAAGTTAACATCGATAAGATAGCTAGGTGATATACATCATTGTTTACCCAATGTGGCAGCTTAGAAGTTTTCCAGAGTACCTACGTAGCCTGTAGGTCAGTCCATTTCTCTTTAATTTATTTATTATTATTTATAGGGAGTATTCAATTTGAGGTTGTATTGTTTGCAGGGGATACAAGGACACACAAAAATTTCGATCAAGGACAAAATCAGAATGTTTGGCCAGCCCTTGTGTTGACCATAATAATAGGTGCAAATTTCATCTAGTGACCTGGACTTTCCTTGTTATGGTAAACACTAACCAAGGCCAAAATCTCAGATTCTGTCCTTGTGTGAGATCCAGCGATTAAGGTTCCATTATCTGTTTGCGTGACGCTTCAACAATGCTTTTTAACTGCGTGGTTGTAGTTCTGTATCTCTGTTAATTTGCACAGAACTGCAGAATGTGATGGTACTGTGTAAACTTAATAACTATAAACGTTAATAAGCTGCTGGGAGACAACATTTTAGGGCTCTCAAAAGTAGCTCTGGGTATCATGAAATTATTTCACATCTTCTGTAAAAAGATGAATAAATGAATGGCGATTATCCATGAGAGAGTTAAAATTCCAGTATTAATGATATATATCACGATTTGGTAGGTAAAAACATACATTTTGCACTTTAACATACACAGACATGGAAACAGCTAATGTACTTTGTGGTAACTACATAGTGATATAGTGTGTTACTATCAAGGTTATTCACTAAAGGGGGAATTCAAAGTGAATTTAAATTTTAACATCAAAATAGTTGAATTTGAAAAATTCCATTCAGCTACTTTGGCTGAACATTTTAAATTCACTTTGAATTCGTCTTGAATATGTGAACACAACATTAAAATCACCTGTCTAATATTGTGTAGGTGCCCCTCTTGCTGCCAAAACAGCTCTTACGCAACGAGACATGGGCTCCACGTGTCCTCTGAACATGTTCTGTTGTGTCTGGCACCAAGACGTTAGCAGCAGATCCTTTAAGTCTTGAAAGTTGCTAGGTAGGGCGTCAATGGATTGGATTTGTTGTTCCAGCACATCCCACAAATGCTCAATTAGATTGAGATCTGGGGAATTTGGAGGCCAGGGCAACACCTTGAACTCTCTGTCATGTTCATCAAACCATTCCTGAACAATTTTTGCCGTGTGGCAGGGTGCATTATCCTGCTGAAAGATGCCACTGCAATCAGGGAACACCATTGCCATGAAAGGATGTACATGATCTGCAACAATCTCTAGGTAGGTGGTAAGTGTCAACGTTACATCCACATGAATGCCAAGACCCAAGGTTTCCCAGCAGAACCTGGCCCAGAGCATAACATTGTCTCTGCCAGCCTGACTTTGTCCAATAGTGAATTCTACTGCCATCTCTTCTCCAGGTAAATGACCCACACTCACCAGGCCATCCACCTGATCTAAAAGAAAACTTGGTTCATCAGATCAGGCAACCTTCTTCCATTTCGTCATGGTCCAGTTCGAACACCCATGTCCCCTTTGAAGGCACTTTCAGCAGTGGACAGGGGTCATAATAGGCACTCTGGCCAGTCTGCAGCTATGCAGGC